GCAACAAAAGGTGAAATCAAGCAAACAGTTCAAGTAATCTCAAAGCAATAATTAAAAAGTTTTGATTCTTTTACAAGATAACTCAATTTAGAAAACATTTGTTTTTTTAGTTATTTTGAAGTGAATCAAATATCCATCTTCACATGCAAAATTAGACTCCATAACAATAATAACTGCCAATAAAAATTAAAGAAGTATACTTGATATTATTACTACTCAAGTAATTGATTGAAAATTATTTGCCTGGAGTTCCTGGAAGGTTTCTCTTCTTCTTAAGTGGAGGCTGCTGCTGCTGCTGCTGCTGCTGTTGAGTGACAGAACCATTGCTGTTGCTCTGGGCACCAGAAGCGCCTCCGGAGCCAGACCCTTGCAAGTGGTTTTGCTGCTGGTTTTCTTGATGAACTTCTAGCTCCCCAGTATTGTTTCCTGAAGAGAAGCTGCCTTCTTCAACATCACCTGTAATATTTGACATATCTTGACAGACAAAAGGGGTTTGAGATAATTAGCTTGTCCTTTCTACACCTCTTCAGAATTTTTCTATGTTGCTTATAATTAGCTTGTCACAAGAGAAAGCTAAAAGGAGGGAATTGTTTTTGGTGAAGAGAAGAAATTCAGGAATTTGCTTCTGGTAGAGGAAGACAAAACCAGGGAACTCAGCTCCTTCATTTCTGGTGTGAGGATGAGAGAAGCAACTATTTTTGCAATTAGACTTAACCTTGGAACTTGGTCTTCTTTGACCTTATATAATTATATATACTGCTCACAAGAAAACATTATTGCAAACTTAATAACCAAATGCCCTTCACTTGTTGGGTAAATACAACCATGGCCTTGCTAGCTTGTATGCCATTCTTTTTTCTTTTTTTTTTCTTTTTGGGTAAATAATAAATATGTGTGACCAATTAATGAATTAATATTTGTTCCGTATAATTTATTATTGTTAATTATTTATATGCACAATATACATTCTCACTTTCTTGTTTAATGATCTAGGTATGCTCACTTCTAGAAAGTTTTTTTTTTCCCCTTTTTTAAGCATGCAAATTATAAAGGCCCTGGCACATTGGAATGCCCCCAGCTCCTTCCAATTAATAAAAAGATTAAAGTCAAATAAAAAAAATCAACCTAGGACCTCAATTTATAAACAAAAAGATAAGGAATTGAAAGAAGAAGAAAAACAAGTACATTGTTTTAATATGGGGATGCACTGAAATTAACTTGGCACACAAGGGGTTGGTTTGGGATTTAAATATGA